CACACCTCACACAGGGGGGCACCCACACCTCACACAGAGGGGCACCCACACCTCACACAGAGGGAAACCCACACCTCACACAGGGGGAAACCCACACCTCACACAGAGGGGGCACCCACACCTCACACAGAGGGAAACCCACACCTCACACAGGGGGAAACCCACACCTCACACAGAGGGGGCACTCACACCTCACACAGAGGGAAACTCACACCTCACACAGAGGGGGCACCCACACCTCACACAGAGGGAAACCCACACCTCACACAGGGGGAAACCCACACCTCACACAGAGGGGCCACCCACACCTCACACAGAGGGAAACCCACACCTCACACAGGGGGAAACCCACACCTCACACAGAGGGAAACCCACACCTCACACAGGGGGAAACCCACACCTCACACAGAGGGGTGCCCACGCCTCACTCAGAGGGGCACTCACACCTCACACAGAGGGGGCACGCACCCACACCTCACACAGAGGGCCACCCACACCTCACACAGAGGGAAACCCACACCTCACACAGAGGGCCACCCACACCTCACACAGAGGGAAACCCACACCTCACACAGAGAGAAACCCACACCTCACACAGAGGGGTGCCCACGCCTCACACAGAGGGAAACCCACACCTCACACAGAGGGCCACCCACACCTCACACAGAGGGAAACCCACACCTCACACAGAGGGAAACCCACACCTCACACAGAGGGGTGCCCAAGCCTCACTCAGAGGGGCACTCACACCTCACACAGAGGGGCACCCACACCTCACACAGAGGGAAACCCACACCTCACACAGAGGGAAACCCACACCTCACACAGATGGGCCCCCACGCCTCACACAGAGGGAAACCCACACCTCACACAGAGGGCCACCCACACCTCACACAGAGGGAAACCTACACCTCACACAGAGGGAAACCCACACCTCACACAGATGGGCCCCCACACCTCACACAGAGGGAAACCCACACCTCACACAGATGGGCCCCCACACCTCACACAGAGGGATAATGACACCTCACACAGAGGGGGCACTCACACCACACACAGAGGGAAACCCACATCTCACACAGAGGGGTGCCCACACCTCACACAGAGGGAAACCCACACCTCACACAGGGGGAAACCCACACTTCACACAGAGGAGCGCCCACACCTCACACAGAGGGAAACCCACCCACACCTCACACAGAGGGAAACCCACACCTCACACCGGGGGAAACCCACACCTTACACAGAGGGGCACCCACACCTCACACAGAGGGAAACCCACACCTCACACAGAGGGAAACCCACACCTTACACAGAGGGGCACCCACACCTCACACAGAGGGAAACCCACACCTCACACAGAGAGGCGCCCACACCTCACACAGAGGGAAACCCACACCTCACACAGAGGGAAACCCACACCTCACACAGAGGGAAACCCACACCTCACACAGAGGGGGCACGCACCCACACCTCACACAGAGGGAAACCCACACCTCACACAGAGAGGCACACACCTCACACAGGCCCTGCTATCAGGGAAGGCCCGCCGGACACAAGCCCAGAGAATCACCTAGTATGCACCCCCCACACACACGCACGTCCTGCCCTGGCTGCCTCTGGGGCTTGCTACACTGCCTGCTCACCACCAGACCAGCTCGCCTTCAAGAAGCAGGCTGGCCAAGGCTCCCGTGGTCTCATCCCTCATCTTGTCCCTGGACACGGCCTGCAGGGCCCAGCATGGCCCCCTCAGGCCTTCCAACACTCCCAGGCCTCCCCCGGAATGCCCGGCACCAGGGAGGACCTGTAATAATAACAACGCTCCAATGTGAGCTCCTGAGTGCCCGCCTCCATGGGCCAGCACGTTTCATTCTGATAACAACCAGTTTTATCCCATTTCACAGACGAGGAAACCAAAACCAAGAGGGGCTAAGTGCCTTTCCAAGGATCGTGTGACCAGTGAGTGGCCTAGTCGGAGCCCAGGTATGTCTGTTATGGCCGCTCTCCTGACCACATGTGGCTAGCGCCATGTGGGGGAGGCAGGCAGCCTGGGGTGGGGGCACCAGATCTGACAGCCTGGCTCCAAGTAGCTCCAGAACCTCGCCGTATGAGCCTAGGCAAGCCCACCCCCTGAGCCTCGGGGTCCTCACCTGGAAAAGAGGACAGAACACCAGGCCCACAAGGCTATCACCAGGATTCGTGCAATGTGTGACCCTGCCACAGGGCAGACTTCAGTCTAGGGCCACGGGCTGCTCAGGGCAGGGTCCGCACGACACAGTGACTGGGGTGGAAGGGCGGTGTTGATGGGCACCAGGAAGCCCAGCATCGGGGCTCTCTCCAAGGCCTCTGCCAAAGGCCCCATCGGTGCTGGGTGCTCGGGAGCGCCCCACCCAGAGGGCAGAGCTGGTTCCAAACCCAGCCCCTCCACATTCTGGCTATGTGGTCTTGGGAGAGCCACCTACCCTCTCTGGCCTCCGTTTCCTCATCTATGAAATGGGCATGATTATGCTCCCTGCAGGACCCAGAGCCCAGCACACGGTCGGCACCCAGGGCTTGCTGGCCCCGCTCTCACCAGGGCTCTGACATGCACCTTCAGCCCACCCCACCACCCCACTCCCTGGCATGCCTCTGAGCAACTCAAAGATGGTTTATACTTTAGAGGACAAATCAATACAATATACAGCCAGAGACATCTTTAATCTTTCTCAGGGATTAGGCTACAAGGTACAGAGGCCCCTTTCTACTGGCCGCTCAATTCTGATTTCAATTTGGGCTGCTGAAGCGCGGCTTTTTCTCCCCTTTTCTTTTCACTCACTAAAGACAATTCTCCAAATCAAATTTCATTTGGCAGGTAGGGCAGGGAGACGCACCGGGGCTGCAGGGGTCTGTGGACGCAGGAGGTCCAGCCCGGTGGAAAGCTGGACCTTTGGTGATGGGATGGAGTGCAGGGGGCAGGGGCACTGTGAGGGCCCTGAGCTCTTATTTTTCTAGAAGTCCTTTACAAAATCTTGAGCAAACTTTCTATTTTCTAGAAAAAACTCAATGCTTGATTAGATGCTCACAGAAACTTCAGACAATAGCCTTAGCTTCAGCCAAAACCCAATGCCCAGACCTCACCCCAATCCCAAGCCTTTCCTACAACAGCATTTGTCCCTCCAGGCCAAAGGGGTGTGGGTGTGTGTGTGTGTGTGTGTGTGTGTGACTGTCATACCCCCATCCCCTGCACAGGTCTGGTCCACATGTGTCTCAGGTTATGCAGCTGGGAAATGCGCAGAAGACAGAGTAACAAAAACACGACACAGATAAAACCTGCAAGTCCTGGAGCCAGCTCGCCTGGGTTCACACCCCTTCTCCACCTCTAACCTGCTCTGTGACCTGTTGCCAGTTATTATGTGGTCTCTCTGCACCTCAGCTTCCTCTCCTGTACAAAGGGGGTACCTACTTCACCAGGTAGGGTGGATGACTCAGGGCACCAGGTGTAAACAGGGGCTCAGCACACGCCAGGGACATGGGGAGGGCCACGTGAGTCCGAGGTTGTCTTCCCGGTCCCCCTGGACACCAAGATTCTGGACCTCCATCCTGCCCCCATCCAGCACCTCTGTCCCCAAATCTGACCGAGGCTGCAGCTGAAACAGCCCGTGGGCTTGTTCGGGAAAGGATTCAAGCCATCAAGGAGGAGAGGAGCCTGCTGGGGAGGATGGATGGAGCCGGGGCGGAGAGGAACCCATCTGAGCAAAGGAGCCAAGGACCAGCGGGCCCTCAGAGGGAGGGGCTGGGAGCTGGGGTCTGATGCTGCCCAGCCTGCCTGCAGGTAGCAGTGGGCTCTGACCACCCCGGCTTCCTTCCACAGAGGCCCAGCCGCTGGAGCGGAGGGCGGGGGCCCGGGGCCACAGCCATCCGTCAGCCCTGCCCCACTTCCACCACCCTGCCGCCCTCTCTGCCAGGTTACAACCACCCGCGGCTTCGGCTGTACAATTAAAGGGGCTCATCCGAGATTTATAGCAGGATTATACCCGCAGGGTGTTACCGACGCCCGCCTCTGGACACTCTGTGGTCCTTAAGAGAAGCAATTAGAGTCCCGGGGTTATCCGGGTATAAATATATAGATGCCATCCCCAAGGTCGAGGGCTCCAGTGAGCTATTTAGAGATGGGGCCTTGGGAGAGGAGGCGGAGGGGCTCCCTCTGCGGGGAGGGGGTCTAGCAGGAGGGGAGGGGCTCCCACGCACTAGGGGAGCCGTCCCTCCAGCCCACTGCCCTGAGTCAGCCAACCCAGAGGCCAGTCTGCTGCCCTGGACGCACCCCCCACCACTGTCCCATACGGCTGCCCTCCTCAGCAGGGCCATCGGAAAGGCCGGCTCAGAGGCCCAAGTGTGGGCCTGCTGGAGCTCACCCTGTCTTAGCCTGTCAATACTCGCTGATAACTGAAAACTTTATCACTTTGAGGACTGCAATTTGGGAGTGCAGGGAGCTCTGTGGGGGAAGGGGGGCTGGCGGTAAGTGGAGAGTGTCTGAGGACAGCAAGCCACTGTCCCATCCTCCCCCCAAATGCCACCCACGGGACGCCTACGGCCCCACCCGCGCGGCCCCTGCCGCTCACCCCAGCAGACGGCTCAGTTGTAAGGAGTCTGAATTCTCAGTCCCGCAAACAAACCCTTGCTCCCAGGATGGCCCTGGCTCCTGGGTCCCTGAGACCCCCATGAACAAGGCTCCCTCCATGCCCACCTCCTTCCCCTCCTCTCTGCCCAAGAACAGGGGCCGTTCCATCGGCTCCCGTGCCCCAAATACGGACGGTTCCTCCATCTGCCTGGCCGTGTCCGCAGAAGCCATTCGCGCCCACCCGCCGCCTCCAGGAGCCACCCAGCCGCCCGCCCACGAGCCACAGGCTCAGGCCCATGAGGGGGCCCCGGGGCAGGAGGAGAGTCCACGACAGGACCTGGGAGCGGCCCCCTGTGGGGACCCCCCTCCTCGGCCCTGAGCGGGAGCCCGCAGACAGACTCACCGTCCTCTCGGGACTTCTGCATGAAGGCCTCCACGCCGCTCTCACCGTAGCTGCCCTCCGAGGCCAGCGTGGACACGTAGTTCCATTTGAGGGCGCGCACGATGTCCACCATGGCCTGGGCCTGGTACGTGTCCGAGGGGACCACGCGGGAGAAGAAGTCGTAGCGGCTGTTGTCACTCAGGTCGGGGGCTGTGGAGGCGTAGCTGATCTGGGGGATCTGGGGGGCGAGAGGGGCCGCTGATGGGGGCGGCTGGCACCCCACCCTGCCCGGCCAGGGTCAGCCCCTACACCCCAACCAGCCTCCCGCCCGGGGACCATCCCGGCCCTTCCCGCGGGCACGGCCTCCTCTCAACCCAGGGGGGCCCCTCTTCACGTGGGATGAGCAGGTCCCAGCCCCACCCAACAGAGGAGGAAACTGAGGCCGAGAGCTGGGCCAGCTGTTGGTCAGCCCTGCCCCGGCTCTGCTCAGGGTCCCAAAGCCTGACCCCCTCCTCCGCTCAGCTCCCCGGATCCTGTGTCTCCCCAGAGCCCCCCCCAAGTCCCAGCAGGAGTAAGGCTGGCACCAGGGTGAGAAGGGAGTGACTGGTAAGCATCAAGCCCTCCTCCTCCAGAAAGTCTCCCAGCTCGCCTCAACAGAGTCATGGGGCTGGTGGGCCCTCCGTCACCTACGCCTACACACCCCAGAGCCATCGTGGATAGCACCCACGCACACACGTGTGCACGCACACACACACACACACACCCCCGCAGGCACCTCTGGGGGCCTCAGCTGACGTAAAAAGCTGGGAGATCCCAGCTGGGGAGCAACCCCAGAGGGGTGAGGGTTGGCCCAGGGATGGAGCAGGGATGAGGGACCCTGAGGGCTTCTCCGGTCCAGCCCCTGCCCCCCAGGAGCCTTCCATGTCCTCGCAGCTCCCTCTGGGCCCCGGCTCCTTCCTCCTGCCCAGCTCAGAGGGCACAGAGCCCAGTTCCAGCTCCCCCTGCCCCCTCCCACCCCAGGGTGGACTCCTGGGAGGCCAGAGGGAGTAGGGTCTCTCTCCACAGCCTGAGACCCAGAGCCCCTGGGGGCAGGGCCTGCCCGAGGCCACAGCCGCTCCTGCAGACTCTGGGCCTCGTGGTCCTCGGCCAGCTCCCCCAGTCACAGGGCACCTTCCTGCCCCGCCCCAGGCAAAGGTGGGACACGGAGGCCCGAAGCCGCCCTTCCCCCGTGGTGGACATCCAGCGTCCACAGGGGCTGCATGCACTCTCCCGAGCCCCCCTCCACCTCTGCTCACTGCCCTGTGCCCTCCTCACAGGGTCCTCACCTGCTCCCAGCTCCCAGGCCCTGCCAGTGGCCCCCGCTGTCCACCCGCCGGCTGGTCCACACCAACGCCTACCCTTCCTGTGTCCCCTCTGCCCTGCTCTCAGCTGGCCACAGTGACAGGGTGAAAGGGTGGGCATACCGCTCTGGGCGAATGTCACATCCAAGACTGATCCCCCGAGGGAATCATTACGGCTCAATCCTGACTGCAAAAACCTCACGGCCAGAACTTTGGTCCGCATGGCAACTGGGGGTGGGAACATATTCCAGAACAGGAGGACTCAGGGAGCCCCCTGAACATGGGTTTGCCCACCTGGCCTCTGCCTAGGGGTGTCCATCCCCAGGGACAGTGGGGGTCCAGCTTCCATAGCGGAACATCCTCAGACTGCCCTGAAACTCCGCAGGGCAGCGCTGCCTCCCTGGAGAGAGCAGGGGCCGGGGGCATGGTTGGAGGGGACACTCCACCTTACACGCTCTGCACTTTTTCCATGTTGTGGTTGGTCGATTGCTCAGTCGTGTCCAACTCTTTATGACCCCTGTGGACTGCAGCCCACCAGGCTCCTCTGTCCATAGGACTTTCCAGGCAAGAATATTGAAATGGGTTGCCATCTCCTACTCCAGTTTTCCGTATGGAACCATGCAAATACAGCACGTGTTTAGAAAGCAAACCCCACTGGAATGTTCCAGAGCACTGCCTGCCTGAGTCAGCAGAGTCTGAAAACTAGCCCAGTCCTCGCGGCCCTAGAGAGCACTTAGCATGAACGCAGCACCCCCTGCAAGGCGGACTCTGGCTGGATACGTGATGATTAATTCAAAAAGTATCATCATTTTTAAGGTCTGACGATGGTGTTATAGCTGTGGTTGCTTGGTTGGTTTTTAAGAGTCCCGAGCTCTTGGAGCGGTTTCCCGGCCTCAGCACTATTAACGCTTGTGGAGGGAAACAAGCCGCGATGCCTTGTTGGGGGGCTGTCCCATGCACTGCAGGCTGTCGAGCAGCACCCCATCCCCTACGCACTGATGCCAGCAGCTCGTCCTCCCCCAGTAACAACCAGAAAGGTCTCAAGACATTGCCAAATGTCCCCTGGGGACAGAACTGTCCCCAGTTGAGACCCACTGTTTCAGGGGCATGTACTAGAATACTTAGGGATGACGTGATGGGAAGCCTGGGATTTCCTTCAAAAGAACCGAGTCCAGGAACGTGTGGAAGAAGAGATGACACTAGCCCAGAGCTGACGGCCGTGCGGTGACGTGGATGTGACGGAGGCGCCCTGCCCTGTCTGTTGTACTTTTGTGTGCGTCTGAAATGGCCACATTTAAAATTTTTGGACAATAAAACAGAACAAAATAAACGTCACCCCCAGGGTCATCGCTCTGAAGAGACTCACCCTGAATCTGGAGCTGACAGCAGAGACGCGGGGCCAGCACAGCAGGTCCCCAAAAGAGGCCGGCACTTCGTTTGTTCGCCAGCTCACCTCTGCCGGCCCTGATCACACACCCAGAAATGCACTTGCCTCCTAATTAGAAGCAGCTTGTCTCCTGCTTTTGATGTTTTCTCCCAACATGGGGCCTCGGGGCTGGAGTCAACAGCGCCTGGCCCGCCAGAGGAGGGCCAGGAGGTCTGGGGGAGGCTCAGTCCTGCTTCCAACCCGCTCCCCTCTGCCCCCAGACTGGGCACTTGGCCTGGGCCAGGCCAGCGGGTGGGCAGACGGCTGTCCAGGTGCCAGGACTCGGAGCCTCCCCCAGGGAGGCCCACCCCTGCCCCTGCACACACACCGCCTCCCATAAAGGGCAGAGGACCAAGTGTGCGGTCCCCGCAGGGTGTGTCAGCCTACAGGAGGCCTCAGGGTCCAGGGGATAAGCATCCTCTTACCCGTGGTCCCCTCTGCCAGCTCCGCCTGCCGCCCCCGCAGGCTCCCTCCCTCGGCTGCAGACCCTCCTGAGGTTCCCTGGAGGATGGGTCCAAGCAGCAATTTGGGAGCTACAGTGCTCAGATTCAAATCCCTGGTGCAGGAAACCTGGGTGCAGATAGTGTCACCTCTCTGGACCTCAGTTTCCTCAGCTGCAAAATGGAAATAATTCCAATCCCTTCCTCCTGAAGCTGTGAGTTGCACCTGCGGGAATTCATGGGAGAAACTCAGGCAGCGCCTGGCGCCTGGCAGGTAGTCAGCACTCGAGGGTAGGGTCGGCACTAATGAGGGCGGTCGTCCGTCCCCTTGCCCTTCCTCAGGACAGCGCCCTTTCTGACTGTTTCTCACCCCCAGACTGTCCCCAGGGCCTCCCCCCCACCCCCAACTCTCTCTCTCTGAGGTCACAGAGTTACCACTGTGCTCAGTGGGGAAACCTCCTGGGACCGGCTGGCCCTCCAAGCCCCCTCCCTCTCATCCCGGCCCCAGCCTGGAGTTGGGTGGCAAAGGCAAGGAGCACCCCGTGGGCAGGGGCCTGTGACAACTTGGCCCAGTGGGCTTCTGGCGCCTCCCCGGCTCTCATCGCCCTGCAGCCGGTGCATGCAAAGTCGCTTCGGTCACATCCAACTCTTTGCAACCCCGTGGACTGGAGCCCACCAGGCTCCTCTGTCCATGGGATTCCCCAGGCAGGAACGCTGGAGTGGATTTCCACGCCCTTCGCTAGGGGACCTTCCTGACCCAGGGATCACATCTCCTCCAGTATCCTGCACCGGTAGGCGGCTTCTGTTACCACTAGCACCGCCTGGGAAGCCCTGCCCTGCAGCCCAGCTGAGCACACTCCTCTCCACAACAGCCACGCCCGCCTCCCCACCGGCGCTTCCCTCTCCTGCCTCCCTCCTCGTCTCACCTAACACCCCGTGCACCCACAGTGTACTGAGCTAAGGTACTGGGGACGCCACATCCGCCTGTCTAACCCTCCTGGGGCAAGAGTCAGCAAGAAGCCAGATTTCAGCAGCAGCTGACAACCACGGCCGTCCTACCCTGGGGCCATTTGTCCGCCTGTTTCTCCCTCCTCTCTGCCTGTCTTCCTCTGCCCACAAAGCCCATGACCTCATCTCCCCACATCCAAATCTTCCTGGTGCATCAAGGCCCAGCTTGTGTCACCTCCTCCAGGAAGCCCTCCAGGAGCCCTCATCCTCCAAACAGCCTGCTCAGACCTCCCACAGCGCCAAGCCCTGTGGGCACTCGGGCTACTCTGGAGCAGCGAGCACAACCTCCTGGGTGTTAGGATGCCTGCCCAACAATTCAACAAGTATGCTGAGGCTCCCCCCTTGTGCTGAGCAAGGTCACTGGGGAGATGCCAACAGAACTGGGCTCATCCCACCCCCAAACCCAACACTCACTGCATCTGGGGGTCACCTGCAGAGGGAGGAGGCAGGTGGGACGACCAAGAGTGACATGCTGGCACCCAGCCAAGTCTCACCCTTACCAAAGTACAGAAGGGCGGAAGGACTGAAGGGGGCAGCACTTGAATAAACCACTCCCCCTCGCCCTCCCTCTCTCTGGCTTCTGGAGTGACAAGGAGGTCCCTGCCACACGGGGAAGACAAAAGCTGTTTCCGGGCTTGAGCAACAGTAACGATGAATGTCAAGCACGTGCGTGTGTGTGTGTGTGTGTGTGTGTGTGTGTGTGTGAGACATGCGCGTGTGTGAGCATGTGCTGGAGCATGTGCCCTGAGCACACGAGCACACCGCACACTCATTGGTTTATTCCTCCTACCAAGTCACTGAGCCCCAACAGCCTGCCGGGCCCAGCTCTGAGAGCAGGGGAACACTGCCCCGTGGGCTCCCCGTGTGGATGGGGGCAGATGATGCAAAGGTGAGGCAGAGTGGGTAGATGGGCCAGGGAGCCAGGAGGAAGAGGAAAGCAGGGCACGCAGAGGGTGTGAGGGAAAAGGGCCAGGGATGCCCCTCTGGCAGGGCGACGCTGAGTCAGAACCCCAAGGTGGTGAAG